TGGTCTTATGCTTCTCAGGCTCCCATCTCCTAGTGTTTCTTTTTTCTTTTGCCACGTGACTGGGAGCAGCTCTGAAGGGTGAAGGAGGTAAGGGGAACTACCAGGACTATGTGGACCTTATACTCCAGATGTAAGAATGGTCCATCCTGATACCTGGGAAAACAAGTAGGCATATCAGGAGCCTAGTTTGGCTAAGACAAGAACTCATGGCACAGCTCCACTGAAATAAGGCCTGATACAGGAGGCAGAAACAGGGCCAGTCTACAAAGGAGGGCTTTAGAAATATTACCTGGGCATGCAGGGTGCTATTAAGAAAGCTGAAACTCATCTTGAACTGACAAAGACATCAAAGGTGAGTTGAAGAGCTTTGGACTTTACGTGGTCAGTAAAAGGCCAAACAAGGGAATGTGTGCTTACTGCTTAGTGGAGTGAGTGATTTTGTGGCAATGGGCATAGAGAAGGGCAATGTCCCTAATGCCTGTTTTGTCTCTCTTCACCACCAAGTTCTCACAGTCTTTGGAGCTTAGTGAAAGGGCTCAAGGAGGATAAAAATGGCAAGCAGTGGGTAAAGACTGAGTCAGGAATTATGTGCAAGAACTTGTAGAGATCAGGTAGTCCCTGGTGACTATATATCCCACCTTCAAGAAAAGCCCAAAGGACAACACAGGGACCTACAGGCTTGTTTGTTTCACTTTGGTCTCTGAGGAATTTATGGAGCAAGTCGTCTGGAGCCCATTGATAGAAGAGCAAGGTTTGCTGGGAACAGGGAGCCTGGCTTTATGAGTGTAAATCATACCTAGCCCACTTAATTGCCTTCTCTGTTTGAAGGACTGCATTTATGGTTGAGGGGGGAGCAATGGATGTCATCTACCTCAGCCCCAGTAAGGCTTTTCACACTATCTGCCACAATAGACTTCTCTCAAAGTCAGGACACTTGAGGTCTGAATAGTTGGACAATTTGATTCCAAAAAGGCTGGTTGGATGGTTGGGTCCAGAAGGTGGTGGTTAATGGGACCTACACTGCCTATAGGCTAATAATAAGTGGAGTAATGCAGTGGTCTGTGCTGAGCCCTGTCCCATTTGACATCTTTATCAGTGACCTGGGGGTGATGACAGACAGTTCTGGTCTCAAGTTTGCAGACGACTTCAGATTGCAGGGACACACAGTCAGGTTAGGGCTGCAATCCATAGGGACCTAGACAGGTTCAAGGAATGGGACAGCAGAAACCATTTGAAATCCATTGAGGACAGACACCAAGTGCTGCCCCTGGGCGGGAAGCTCTGGTAGAGGGAGTCAGGTGGGTCCCTGACTGTCTGGGGGCAGCTCTGTTGGAAGGGACTTTGGCAGGCACAAGCTGGTCATGAGCCAGCAGAGTGCCCTGGCTGCAAGGATGGCCAGCAGCACCCTGGGCAACCCAGGAAAGGAAAGACATGGAGTAACTGCAGCAAGTTCATTAGAAGGCCCCCAAGGTGCCTGAGAACCGGAGCACTTGCGGCTGAGGGATCAAGCCTTGTTCAGCCTGGAGAAAAGATGGTTTCGGGGAAGACCTAACAGCAGCCTGGCAGGACCTGTGAGGGGATTATCAAGAAGACAGAGCCATCCACTACACAGTGGGAAATTATGGGAGAATGAGAGATAACGGGCATAAGTTGGAACAAGAGAAGAGGTAGGATAGAATGAAATACTTTTTAACTCTGGGGACAGTCAAGAACTAGAACTGGCTGTTCAGAGAGGTTGTGCCATTTTCATCCCTGGAGAATTTTAAGACCTGACTGCTTAAAGTCATGAGCAACTTGGCCTGACTTCAGAGCTGACACTGGAGCTTGGACTAGATGTCCTGCCACAGGTCCTTCCAACTGGAATTGTTGTCTGTGATTCATTCTATGAATATTTTAGAACTATATTGAACTTCCAGCTAAATTTATTTGTGATCTATTTGTGTCCTTGAGTTCTCATGCTTCTTAGGCTTGTTCTTTGCCTAAAATAAGTTTTATTCTGCAATGTATTAACTGAGAACACTCACTGTCAACTTCTGTTAAGCAGAACAAGCCATGCTCTTCTAATTTCCTCATGTGAGATAGAGTCCCAATTCCTTTTTCATCCTAATATCCCCTCTCTGCACCTGTTTTGATTTAAATTCATCTATCTTGCACATAGGTGATCACAGCACTGCAGTACCACACAAATCCAAATACAAGGTCATCAGAGAAATACTCATATCCTGCACTAGACATTCTTGCTACTGAAAACATTCTGTAGGACAACACAGCCATAGATTTAACTACTTTTTTACAACTGCACCCTGCCCATACTAATGTTGTCACTGTTCGTCATTTCCTGATCTTGCTTTCTGCATATAGAAATACATAAATCCAGACATATGCAAAATTATTGTGCCATGGAAGTCATTAATGAAAACTAATGCTACTATTAAAAAGGCTTTTCTGATATTTGCCCTAAACATTTCTCAGTTCTAATTTTCATTACTCTTAATTGGACTGTTCTGTTGGTTTTTTTTTCTTCAGAAGCTGTTAAGTGTTCTACACCCAGGTATCTTTCAAATATTTGTACACAGAAATCTTGTCTTCACTTGAATTATCTCTGTTGATCTTTTCTGGTGAGTCATTTTTTTCCAGCACCCTAATTATTTGGATGTGAATGAAAAAGATTCCTTTACAACAAAATGTTTTCATATACTTCTCAATTTTGTTTTTAGGATCCTGTAAAAAGACCACTGAAATATTCTTTAAATCCCACAGATCGCAAGTACTGAAAAGGCATGAGATATAACCTTTTAAGCATATTGATCACACAATGTCTTATTGTGCTTGTAATACAAGTGCTTTTTGAGATGCCAACTCTGATCTCAATTTGGTCACATGGAATTATGGTCCTTCTGGGAAATCAGACTTCATTTCAGTGGTAATTAAGAGCAAGTAATTCCCTGTGATACAGCAGGTTTCCCCAGTCATAGTTTCTCTCATCTTCTGTTTCTCCACAAACTCCTCCTTTGGGAAATTGTTTAAGGATAATCTAGAAGTAAATTTTCATAGTTTCTCAATGAGATTGCCTGTCATGCGTTGGTAATTTGCCATGCAGGAGATAAATTGGCTTTTTCTGAGATAGCATTTTGTTGTTCATGGCTTATGTACTGCTTTTCCCATTAATTGTTTAAAGAGCAGTAAGTCATCTGTAGATTTAGTAAGTTTGAGCTTGTGAGCCTGTAACACAGAATGCTGGGCCCTGTGTAGAGTTCATTGGCTAAATGTTTATGAATATATAAGGAGCTCTTAGATCAAATGCTTAAATTATTTCTATTTCCCTTCCAAGTGTAGTTACAGAAGCCTCCTGTGTCTTGTCTGTGATCTTGGCACGTGAACTTCTTATAAAGGGAAGGCATGCACTAACCCCAGCACTGTTCTGTTGATCACTAAGAGGGAATTTTCCAGAGTCATAGCACTCCAGCTACTACATAAAATAAACTTTTTTGGCCATTGGTTACAACTTATTTTGAAACAAATATGTTTAACTGTGTACTGGGTGGAGGTGCCCAGGTGGGGGAGGTGGGAGCCGGAGCTGCAGGGGTGGCCTCTGTGAGGAGAGGCTGGGACTGGCCTGTGCCAGACAGCCGGTCCTGAGCAGATTCCCCTGTGACCCCGGAGAGATCCTGGTGGAGCAGGTATTTCCCTGTAGCCCCTGGAGAGACCACGGTGGAGCAGGTATCTCCTGCAGCCCATGGAGAGGTCCCTGCTGGTGCAGATCTCCACACTGCTCCCCTTGGAGGACCTCACACCACAGCAGGTGGACATGCTCTGAAGCGACTGTGACCCATGGAGAGCCCACGCTGGAGCAGGTTTATCCTGAAGGACCGCAGCCCCTGGAGAGGCCTCAGGATGGATCAGGGAAAAGTGTGAGGAGGAAGAAGTAGCAGGGAGGAGCTGTTAGGGACTGACTGCAGTCCCCCATCCCCCTGCACTGCTTGGCAGGAGGGGGTAGAGGAGTTGGGAGTGAAAGGGTGAAGATAAACCTTGGAAGAAGTAGGGGTGGGTGGAAGGAAGGTGTTTTAAGTGCTGTCTTTGTTTGTCACCATCCAATTCTATTGGCAATAAATTAAATTTATTTTCCCCACAGTCTCTTTTTTTGCTTGTGATGATAATTGGTAAGTGATGCCCTTGTCTTTGACTTGACCCACAAGCTTTTTCATCTTATTTTCTCCCCCTGTCCTGTTGAGCAGGGGGGGAGAGCAACTGGGTGGGGATCTGACAGGCAGCCAAGGTCAGTCCACCACAAACTTTTAAGTAAGCTAGCGCTCAGAGGGATTTCAGCCCTGTTTTTTCATCTTGATCTTCAACAGACTTAATTATTCAAAATTATTTCTATTGTCATTTGATTAAATGATATTAGAATTTTTGCTGTGAGACAGAAACAGAGAAGTAAACTTCACAGCATTGATTAGCTATCATGATAAAGATGAATATTGGCTCATTTTTAATATGATGATTCATTACCTGGCAAAATTAAGGGTCTTCATTATTTCTACTTCAGTTTCCATTAGGATTTATTATTATTCCAGAAGTTGTAATGTGTATTTCTTCTTTTAAAAAAAAAAATTATGGGATGTCAATGTCCTATAGTTAGAATGGTACTAGAAATTCACAGGCTGCTAAATTCAGCACCACTGCTCAAAAGGTGATGTAATTTCTGTGCAGATTTTAGAGACTTGAAAGGAAGTGCAAGACTTTTCCCCTTTCTCTGTCATACTTGTGTCTGGCATTTTGCACATCCACACGGGAGAGCTAAAAGAAAAGGAGAGTTTGCAAGAGTTCATAAGTGTTTGTAGAACACCCACTGGAGTTCCTGCTTAAAGGCAAGGGACAATATATCCCTTGCTTACTTTCATAATCCTGAACTGAGCTACAAACAACAAAATAAAGACAGAAAAGGAAGAATACTTGACTTGTGTCAACATTCTTTTTCTTTTTGAAAGAAGGCTGTTCAGTTTAATCCTCATGAAAGTGGGGAAAAATAACAGTAGTGGATTAAAGCCAGAGTTTAAGAAAATACATTTAAATATTTTTTTACTTAAAAATGAGTTTCCTCATAATTCAAAGACCTAAGAGTTAAACTATATTGTATATGCCTCAAGTACAAATTGATAAAAGAGCTAATAAACCAGACTATATAAAAAGCAAGAGACTTTTTTCCCCAGAAAAATGTATTTGTGTTATAGCTGATCATATAAAAAGCATTAAATTTTTAAAAAATGTGTATATATTTTTTTCAAGTGTTAATGGTTTCACCATTCATCGTAACTACATTCCAAAGTCCTGTAACACCAGGGCACATTATCCTTATCTGTGTAGCACAGTGAGCATAATCTTTACACTGAGGTCACTCTCATCACTACTTCTCCAGAGCTGTTATCCTCTGATGAATCTTCCTGAGGTCTCATGCGGTTGAACAGATGTAACAATACATAGCCACACTGAAATCTTGGTGAGGTTAACTGTGTTGGATGAACTAAACTTCTGTTTCTAAATGCAGTCAGTGGTAACCACAATGTCCTTCCTGCTGAGGATTCTCCTCGATTGCTTTCTTCTATGTCTGTGGCTTTATCATAATTTAACACATCCCAGTGTAGATTCACAGCCCTCCAGCGCTTAAACACTCGATAAACAGATGCACCTTCATGTACTATCAGTCCTGAAATGAAGAAAAAGAAAAAAAGTTTGTACAAAATGTCAATGGATACCATTTTGAGATCAAATAGAAATGTAACACATTGTAATCAATCTGGCAATTGCCAACCTCATTCAATTATTTGTAACTCTGATAACTCAAATGATAATTCAAATCAATTGTGCATATTCAATATACCTGGTTATTCATGTGTTTAAGATCGGGAGGCGGTAACATGTGGAGGAAATAAAATTGTTCTGAATGAAAGCTCAACATAACCACACCAGAATAATGTGAGTATGCCTAACTAAATATTTAGATTTAAGTAAATCGATATCAAAGAACCTTACTGGCAGATTTCTGAATTTACTGTTTGCACTAGTGTTATCCTTGTTCATGGTAAGTCCTATTTATTTACTGAGATTTGTGCTGGTTTAAGTAGATCTTTAAGGAGGTTAGACTTTCTGTAATGAACAGGATGATCTTAAATTTGTTTAAGAGTGTTTTGTAGAATTCAGTACAGATACAAATTTAACTGTTTTCACATTCTTAGTTTAACTTGGGAACACAGAAGATTTATGAAACTTGAAACAGCTGTAAGTATAATGAATTTCCTGTCTTGCTTCAGTAGAGCAAGAAGAAATTAAATGTTATTATTAACTATGATAAGCATGGAGAGGATGATGGGCTTTCTTCTTTCTCTTCAAAATTCAGCAGACAAAAGTTGAGAAACATATTTTTTTATTGAGACCCAGGAAATATTTTAAAAGGTCCTTCAAAGAAAATACAGATTATCTGGAGTCCTCAACAGACCAATCTGTTTATGAACTTCCATGCAGCTAATATTTATGCTTATTGCATGCATTCAAGCAATTTATTTACTTAAATGAAACTCTTCATTTTTTGCATGTATGTATATGTATTTATACACAGACTCTTTATGTGCAAGTATTTCAAATATGGGTTTACTGGGGAGAAGCATGGGACTTCAGCTTTCTTATTAGGTTTTTTCCTCAACCAACCTGGTAACTTACATGGTTCTGAGCAACATCACATGTTTTCTCTGGCTCCCTGCTTTTGACTAGCCAAAAACCTTTATAAATTTTTTGTCCAGTGTGTTTCTTTCCTGTACATGGCCTATATGATACATGGTGTCACAAGCTAGTCCTTTATCCCAAGAGATTGTATATCACCTGTTTCTACACAACAAAATTGTGGTTTAAGTGTCTGAGGTCTCTTAGCATGGGTAATTGATACCAGGAAGGAGATTTCAATGAAAGATGACACAAGCAGAAAGGATGATAGAAACATTTATATGAACAGCAAACCTCAGATTCAAGTAAAGTGATTTGCAGATAGCAATGCCTACTCTAACACATTTTAAAAGATTATTACACTGAAAGATGGAGAAACACAAAGATTGCTTTCAGAAGGACATGATAGCAAATGTAGCATCTCCATAAGACTTACAAGTTTCTTAGAATTTACTGAAGCATCTGATACAGCAAAACTAAAATTAACATTATAAATTTAATTAAGGGTTAAATATGCTAAATGTATTTTGTATCAGCATAGCATTTTAGTGGAAATTTTTATTGACTGCAAGATTTTAATCTTCTCAGATATATATAAAGCAACAGTTTCTAAAAATCTAGCAGCCATGTTAATACATAAATGCACCTTTAAGACTGGCTATATTGTCTTGAAAAGGATAAATGTGTTTGATCATGTGCAGAATCCACAAACCAAATAAGCCATGGTTTTACTGACTGCTGTGACAGAGATCCCCCCTTTTATCTGTTGGGTTTCCTACAGAATGATAAGGGAGATGAGCATAATTTTCCCTCAACCTGTCACTGGATCATGGTATTCTTTGGCTCAATTTCCCTCAAGACTGTGATGAAAACTGAGAAAATCTATTTACCCCAATATAAAGATTTTTGATACCTGCCTGCACTCCACTGAAACCTGAACAACATGTTTCACCATAGAGAAGGAAGAAGTTGAGAAAGGATCATTGTTGTACGTGAAGTACATTTAAACAGTCAAAAGTATCCTCCCCAGATTATGACACAAAAAGTCACAGGACGACTTATTTTAGGGATCTCTTTTTCACTGGTTTTGAACTTTCAGGATTTAGTGAAATTATGTTTTCAAGGTTTTTTCAAGAATGGCAAGGAAGAGAAGTTTTCTTTAAAGTGGAAACTGTTAGTTACATCTGCTCTAAAAGAGCTATGAAACAAAGGATCAAATATTACAAGGCTTGAAATAAGGTTGTCAGATTTAGCAGTACTGAAGGACCAAAGGAGTACTTTTCATAATTTCACCCATAAAAATCTTTATTTCCCATTTGATAAAACTGCAGATTGAAAAAGACCTTATGTAGAAGAGGCAAAAACCATTCCAATAGATCTTCTGTCTCTTTGAAAGATATTTTCCAGGGGGACGGGGAAAGAAAGCTCTCAGCATCAACAGTTCCAAGACCAAAACAAGAGGAAATCTGGGTAAGGTTTAAATGCTGGACATTTTGCTAGTCCAGAGAAGTTCTAATGCTCAAAATATAAGTAGCTAGTCACTAAAGTGAAGCTGTAAGAAAATGGCAATAATGTGCTTTTTCTTAAGAGTTCCCCAGCAATGAATGAAGATATTAGAGAGAAAACAAGAATAAATCCATTAATAATACTGACTTGTTCCAAATACCATGATTTCAACAGCACAGAGGACATAGTTGCACAGTCCTAGGGAAAAGAACAATTATTTGACCCAGATGACCCCAAGAGGAAGTGTTAGAATTCACTACAGTTAGCTGTTGATGTTCTGTCCAATTAGTATCTACAAGGAACAGAGTTTTGGGACAATGAACCTGGCAAAATGTTCTAAGGCTCTAAGATGACTTTATCTTCAGGATTTATTTCTAAAATGTAGGGATTGTAGTGGGATCCAGACAATAGGATTATGGAGAGATCATAATTATCTTTTATTGCCAAGTACTATGGAGTCTTTCACTCTATCCAAAGGATTTCTTGCCCTAAGCCACAAGACCACTTGAAATTTTCCTACAGATTGTCTTTACAAGCAGGCAACTTGTCTTAGTTCATTCAGATTTGGTGGTATTAGGTTCCAATGTTGTCTTATTTATCATAGTAATCTTATAATCATTCAGGAATGGTCCTCCCAGAAACATCACAAACTTTTACCAGAGAATAAAAGGACTCTTTTCAGAACCAGACTTTATTATTGGACAAAATGCCATGTCTTAATACTATTCTAGGGCTCACAGATACCAAAAAAAAAAAAAAAAAAAAAAAAAAAAAAGAGCAACAAATTGCTCAAAGCATTGAAGTGAAACATGTCCACTTTAAAAACAGCAATATAACTCTAAACTATTTAGAATTAGGCCTACTGTTAAAAAAAAAAACCAAAACAAAACAAACAAAACCTTTCTGAGTAGAGCAATATTGAGAACAGCTACATGTGTTCATTATAAGTAACTTCAGCCTGTACATTTTTACAACTAAGGAGTTACACAAATGTTGCTAAGCATCAAGTTACTTGGTGGGGAAGAAGGAGGCTTTCAGAAGGCTATTCACACCTCACATTGGCTCCCATCTCTTAATCCCTTGCCATAGTACTACTGGCACCACTCATGTTTCTATTGCAATGTTACAACAGCTTTCTATGTTCTAAAGGAGCTGCACTGTTGTTCTGGGATTGCAAGTGAGCTGTTATTACTTCTGAGAGAGATTTTGTTCATGTTACAACCATTTATGACTAGTAGTTATGATTATATTCCAGTGAAAATATATAAAATTATATGACTTCACTGTCAAGAGAAACAACTGCTGTGTCTACAAAGTAGAATGGCAAAGGCTCGGAGTATTGTCCTTCAGTGGCTAAATAAGAGTTTTATATTATTCATTCCTTTCATATTAACTCATGAACTCACTCCCTTTGATAATCCCTATATGGATGGTCTGATCCAAGCACTACCACTGCAATAGCTCTGGGTTCACAGGCAGTAGTTCTACTTGATTAAAACATTCAAGGTTTGCCTTAGGAAAACTTCTACCATCAGCAAGTTTCAAAGAGAACAGCTTTATGCCCGTCTTAGATGCAGAAAACTATAAACTAGTGACTTGTAGGGTTGAAACTAAGCTGGTAAGTTAAAACAATCCTGTTACGAAGAATTCTAGAAAAATTTAGAGTAGAACAAGGAGAACAATGAATACCAATAAAACACGTACATTGGAAAGAATAGAACACATTATATTGGTGATCTGTCATCTTTGGGATATTTCTTTTGGTGAAAAGTAAAACAAGACCAAGAATTAAAATACAAGTTACATGGAATTTACTTGATAAGAAAGTGGGTGTTATGCTATGTATGGTATATACATTGGGAAAACAAATTAATATGTGCAGGTTTTCAAAGATGTCATATAAATATGTCAGTACCTTTAGGCAAACTGCTTTTAAAAATAATGACAACAAAACATTTCAGAAAGTACAGATATTTACACTTCACAAATGACCAAAAATATTTGCATTGTTTATGCAAACCTATACAGAGGTGTAACCGAAGGCAGCTGGAATAAGTCCTGGTCATACCACCAGTAACTCAAGCACTTGTGTTGAAATATGTGCTGCCATATGTCTGCATAGATTTTTCATTGAAATAAAGAGATTCCAATGGGAGTATAGATATTCACTCACTATAAATCTTGCAGAAAACTAAGAGAATGCCATGGATGACTAAACACAGATAAGAGAAGAGGAGATACTAAGTGAGAACTGTGGCTGGCTGTAAGCATTAGAAGCTTTATGATATAAGAGATTATATATAATATGCAATGGTAAATTCATACTTTCATGTCTTTGGGAAGTCATCAGCATAACGGACAACGGGTTTTTTAAAAGTATTTCATGAGTAATAATTACATCCATCTATTAATTTGAATTAAAACTATCAATTAAAATCCATCACTTTATGATGAAAGATAAAAATTGAATGAAGTTGAATATATTAATAAATATTTTCAAGAGTTACAAGAACTCCTGGTCTTAAAAGCTTACAGAATGCAGATTACCTGAAATTATATGCAGGATAAGTGGACTGAATGAATGTGGATCATCAGAATTCTACAATTACCAGACCTCCTTTATACAGCTTTCTAAATTCCCAGATACAGTTTAGTAATGTTAAGTCATATCTGCAGTGAATTTCGTAACAATGAAACAAAACAGTGTCCAAATATGGTTCATTATAGTAATATTCACATAAAAATTTCCATGTATTATTTATGATAGGACTATAAAATATGCATTTATGTAATTACAGGCAAGTCAGTTTATCTGGTGGGTGAAGATATCTACACGCCTTTGCTTCCCCCATGGTGCCAGTTAGGCTATAAGCTCCATAGCCACGTGAGGTACACGTTAGTTCAGTAGCTTCCAGGCCAGAGATGGCTTGAGCCTGGCTGCCTTGAAAGGCAGCTACATAACTGCATGTACCAGTCTACTGAAGGATCTCCTTCCAATAGTTGACTTCTATAAATACACTAATACTTCTGATCATCCACAGTCATTCTTGATTTACTATGAAATTAATTTGTTTTGGGTGTTCTAACAGTCAAAAAATGGAAAGAAATGGAAATAGTTTGAAATAAGTGGTTATTCTAAATAAGACCAAAGGAAATTTTTTACAATTGTAATCTTTGTGAAAAGAACCAGAATTCCATATAAATTAAATGCTTAGAATGCATAAGCACATTTTGTCTTCACTTAGTGTCTTTTTAAACAAAAGCAAAAACCTCAATATTGAGTGTTAAACCAGAAAAAGTGGTATTCAGGAATCAGCATGTAGGAGGCCAAACAGCGGAGTATTTTTTTCATTTAAAAGCTGAGCACTTGTCCACAGTATTAGAGACCTACATTTTGTTCATTTTTCTGTCTGAGAGGATTTGGGTTCACACAAGAAAGGTTGTGTTCTAAAATATTCCAGAGTGGGCTTCTTTTAGAAAAATTACAAAATAAACAGATCTTTGCTGATCCAGCTGAAATAGAAATAGTTTTACAGTAATGGGATGGTTTCAATAAAAGATGGTATGCCTTTATGATTGGAACAAAAGCCTTGATATTAAGAATCACTCTGTTTCTTTGCACCTTATTGAGCAGAATTCAGCACTGTCCTTTTGAATTGAGATTGAGATAACAGCAACATTTATCACTCGGAAATCTCAAAGCAAATTGATATCAGATAGCATTTGACTTCTGGATTTTCTTGGAATTGCAATTCTAGGAATGTGGTTTAATTTTTACTGCAATTATTAAGTTTTCTCTGCAAGTAATCGTAACTATTCCAACAAACAATTCAAGGTTTTTTTAACAAATACTAAAGGGATTTCTATTTGAATATTTCTGGGTCCAGTATATTTTCAGAAATTTTAGAAAGGGTCAAATAGCTCAGTAAATTGCATTTTATTTTATAAGATTTCAGCTAGAGTTAAATGACTTGAGACTTTTTAATAGTAAAATTACTACAGCTAACACTATTAGAGTGTTTCATAACTGTTTCTGATGTACAAAGAACTCATGCCTGTCTTCTCTATTCTTTTCTGTTACTAGCACAGTGGCCTATATATGTAAGTCTGTGGAACTTAATTTTGGATATGCGGTTTGACAACACCCTCCAGGGCTTCTTCTGCACTTCATGATGGTACGATCTAATGCAAAGCGGCATCAGTAAGAGACTTGACAGCATGTAATTTTACTAATTATTTTAATAATGTCTCTGTCATTTTCATCTATTTAACTTCCTGAACTTTGCTAGCTGTCTATTTTTTCAAGAAATTGAAACTGATCCTGTTCTCACCGCTATGATCTTGGGGAGACAGTTTGATGAATCTGAGAGTAAAGCTTCTTTGGTACTTTTCTCTTTGCAGTGTTTGTAACACTGGAAAAAGCAGTATTTGCCAAAGGTATCAGCTGAGAATAAATCTGCAAAGAACTGGAGTGATCAATTATCGTGACCAATTAGAAAAATAGATATAGTCACAGTCTTAAACCACAGTCTGTGCTGTTTAAAGATTTTGAGCTTACCTATGCATACTAGATCCATAAAACCATACATTCCATAGCAGATTTGAAAAAGGATGTCCTTTCTTTGCCATACTGCATAAGGGCTGAAGGCTGACCATAGAAGCCAAGTCACACTTGCTACTAAGAACAGAGATCCTAGGATTACAGCAACCATCTGCACTTTCTCAACCAGTGTTATAGTAATGCTTTGCCACTAAAAGAGAAACAAAGTTGTATGAGATAAAAATGTTAATTTCTGTGATTGTACATTCAACTCCACTTTTGTCCTGAAATTAGAAATTATTTTAATATTTATACATCTCTTCATAGATCTTTACTAATATCCTCGATACTGACATTTTATGGTTTTTTCCTATTTCACTTTTAGTTAAAGTGAAACTAAAAGTTGCTTTCCCATCCCCTCCAGCGTCACTATCACCATCTAGCTGTGAACTTCAGAAGAGTTAATAGTTTTATTGCTGTTTTGAATACATAGACAGAAAATTATTTAGTCTTAGGAATGGAATTCAACGTTTCATATTTGTTGGCTAATGAACAAAAAAAATGTTGGGAAAACAATTTTAAGTATGTTTTATGTTAGTGTGACAAGTCAAAAATGACAACTTTCCATCCCACCTCCCTAAAGTCTGAAGCTGTTTTCCACTTTCTTGCTCTTCACCAAAGTAGTTCTAGCAATACCAAAGGAATTGGACTTTTCTGTATAAATCAGTGTTAACAGTACAAAGAGACACCTGCAGCCTAGTAAAGCAACCTGAAGACTCAGGAGGAGCCCTGAATATAGGTAGCACAAACATTTCTTTTCAGTGCACCCCAGTTATGTCTGCCTTTCCAGGGAAGGCTGTATCCTCCGTATTTGAGGTGACTCAGATTTATGGTGACAGGATTTAAATATAAATATAAAAGAGTATGCTTACTGAATTCTGTCAAGATAAGAATAGAAATAAAATTCTGTTAAAACAATTACTCTCAAAAGCAAAACATAGCATAAGATTACTCTTAACATATATGGTCTTTGTTGGCCATAATTGTCTATATTAGCTTGGCAGACTCCCCACTCTAGTTCCATCATCTATTCCAGAGCTAGTATGCAGACTCTGTAGAATGCCATCGTTCCTGATTTTGAACATACCTCCCCTCTTTTGCAGTTGCAACAGGGAATAGGTGGAGAAAGATACTGCAATAAGGGCTTTTTCCCATCTGGCAGTAATTTTTCCTTTTTCCTGTTCTTTATGAAAGTTTACTCTTTCTATCAGCATTTGGGTACCCAGTATTGGATGATCACAGGATGATAGAATAATTCAGGTTGCAAGGGACAGTGGGAGGTCTCTAGTTCAACTTCCTGTTCAAAACAGGGTCAGTGATGAGATCAGACCAGGATACTCAGGGGTTTATTCAGTAACACCTTGAAACCCTTCAAGCATGGAGACTGTTTAGCCCTTTGGCAACCTGTTCGGCTTCTTGACTGTCCTCAGGTTGAAGAATGTTTTTCTTAAAAAACATTTTTCCTGATATCCAGTCTGATCCTCTTTTGTTCCAGCTTATGCTCCATCAAGTACCGCTGTGAAGAACCTGGGTGAGCAATGAGGCCCTCTGCCCCATTCTTCTCTTTCAGCTTTTTCCATTAACTTTTCTACCATTGCCTAATTTGCACATCTAGTGCAGCATGCCTTCTCCTGTTGCAGCCTTCTGAATACAATAGTACAAAAGAATAGCTGTACAACAATTTGTAAGTTGTCTATCTTGAAATACTATCCTTTTATAATGAACTTATTAAACTCATACTAGCTACTTCTTTGAACATCACTGTTTGGAATGGGGCTATTCATATTAAATACCTTTTTTAAGGTAAAGCGACTATGGATACTCATTTTCTTTGTTAGAATTTTTTTTTTTTTTTTTGGTAAGGTCAAAGACAGTCATTAATGAATGACACATGACAGAATAGTGTGAGCTTCTCCTGGCTCAGGTATTGCTTGTATACGGGATGTAAATGTCAGGACTGAATTTATAGACCTCTCTTTAACTCTATAAGGTTATGTTCAACACAGTTATTTTTCATTTCTCAGCTGAAGCCACATAGTGTGACTTGGCAGAAAACTGTAAAAAATGCTATTGGTTATGTATCTCTTTCTATCTTCTTTCATTATCAGTGTGAGACGGACCTGTAATAAATTTGTTTAGAATGCCTGAAATCAAAGTACATTTACATGAAGTAAAGCTTTAACTGTCATAAAATATTAAACTATCAAATTCATGGAAGAAGTGGCAATAAATTGAAAAGACTGTTATAACACTGAAATAAACAGCAGATCTTTCCCAGTGCAATTTCAGCAATGCAGATGTTCCTAAACTCACTTCAGCTTTTGATTTTCTTTGTTGTTTTGTTTTGGGTTTTTTAAACTTAGAATGCTCATAATTATTCTGCAAAGATAGCACTGAACAGAAGGTAGTCCAAATATCTAGAATAAGTAAGTAATGTAGCATGCAGTCTAGATATAAAGTCCATCCCTTATTCTGGTGTTGTCTGACAATTAATTTCTATTCCTATCTCCCACTCCCAAACAGAATCAACCCCTTCTAGCATCTTCTTCCATCTCATTAGGGCTTTTGCTGGCTTTCCCCAAACTTCTTCTTTCTAGAAAAGCTTGACCTTTAAAAGTCCTAAGAAACATAGATATGATTCTCACCTCTTCCTAGCATCTTCTCAAGAATGTATTCTAGGTATTTTGCTATCCTCCTGATCAGATGAATTGTCTGTTCAGAATGGAAGCACTTGAATCTCTCAACCTCAAACAATTCAGTAATTCCAAAGAGTCAACATATTAGTGTGTTACCAACCAGGAAGTGGAGCCACCCCTATTACTAAGAAAATGCACAAGCATTCCACGGGTTGTAGTTCCTAACTCCTTTGCCTTTAAAAATCAAGGAACAGTTAAAACAAACACAACAAAATAAAACAACCAATAACCCCAAAAGGGGGTTGCATGTTTTCTTCTATTACTCATCTACTTTGGCCTTTGGGGTATTCACAGACATTCTTTTACAAAAGAAACTGTAGTCCTCTACCTTCCTCAAGATGAAGGTCAGCAATAACCAAGCAATTTAAACATTTCAGGAAGGTTTCCTCCCTGTTAGTGTAATCTGTAAATTGAACTAATTGATGAAATCCCACAGTAGGTAGAGGAGGAAGGACTGTGCGTAAGATGGAAGGCATTCAGGAGGCCCAGAAAGTTTTATGCGAAACTGCTAACTTGCCTCCTAGTGCTATGCAGTCTGCCATAAAAATCCCCCACCCTAAGAGTGATAGGGTGGGATGGATTGATACTAAGCTTTAACACGTGATCAGTTCTGGGACCTCGGTTTCTGTGTATGATGTCCCTCTTTACTGCCAATGGCAAGAAGACTGTGGATGCTCCTGATGGCTAACTACCTCAACAGAAATTTCCTCCTCCTTGCCCCCCTCCAGTCAGTTTTGATTCAGAACAGTCTGAGATTGCCTCTTTGGAAATGAATGTCTTGATTTTTTTCCCATAAGTTTTACTGAGTTTGGGTACAAATTATAAAAAGCAAACAGGTCTTACTGAGATAGGCATATTTTTCACATTATAAAGAAGGTATTCTCTAGTTATTATGTTATTCACATGCAAATAAGTTTGGAAGGTTCAGTCCTTTACTTAGCCATGGACAGTATTAGCTGTTAGGCAACAAGAGGAACTACATAGGACTGCATTGCCTGGTGGCATTGGATTTCGTAACAGGGCTTAAGAAGAGGAACTGGAGTTGTGATCACACTGTTTTCTTCTAGTTTTACTCACAGCATAGCTAATACGTGTGAGTATACACTCTGACAGACACCCAGGAACAGAAGATTCTTTTTCTAAGAGTAAGATTCTTACTATAGTATCAAAAGCCAGTTAAGCTTTATCTGATTTTTCACAATTATTTAGCTTATTGTATGCCCTGTTACATGTTGTTATAATCACTTCACCTTTTAATGTCAAATTAATGGCTTACAATAAGGAAGTCACAAAAATAATGTAGTGAAAATAATTCAGTGATAGTTAATGCTGAGAAATTGCATTTAGAATTTAACAGACTGAATTATTTAATGTTCCAAATTGAATGATCTGATTATTAACATGTCACAATTTAAATCCATTATTTCCATAAAAGCATTTCTCATTTTCTTCATCTAACTTGTCTCATAACTCTTAATTGCTCATGATTATAAATTATATTATGAATTCCTAATTTGTTTTTGTCATTTGCTGACTATACATTCCATAATCAGTAACAGTTCTTTTAGCTAAGTATTTTGCCATGTTAGAAAAGATCTATACAGCCTTTTAGTGTCAGCTTCTGTAAAGTACATGACCCTAAAAATAAATATTAAGAGAACGATTATAATTTTTGCCTAAAAACTAGAAATTGAAAGGTTACATATTTTGTATCTAGATAACTATAATACTGCAATTTTTCAGATTCATAAAAAATTCTCATTTAAATTTCTATGAAATAGGATTTCATTTCATATTTCTTCCCATCATATCTGTAATTTTATGATATACCATGTCCTCTCTGTTGTCCATGAAAAAACCCACATTTTACTTTAATATACAGTGATGATGAAGTCTTCCTTTGAAAATGGTGCCTTCATAAACAAAATATAATTCATGCTTCTGATTTTAATGTAATATTGTCTGTTTCTTGAAACTTCCTCCACTTTTATTTCTACTAACACTTCATTATGTTTGGCTCTTTTAATCTTTTATTTACCGCTGGTCTTCCTTTCATGAATCATTTGGGAGTCTAGCACATTAATGGTAAACTACAGTTCTAATGCTGACCCCATAAATATTGCTTCCTCTTTTCTTCCAAGGGCTCTATCAAGCAGAAATACTGCATAATTTCTTTTTTTTTGAGGTTGAGACTTCCAGAATTTGAAAGAAACATATTGCTTTGATGGACTAATTGTTAAAGAATAAAGTTAATATTGTTATATGCATGTCCTTACTAACATGAAGATGGATATAATATTCAAAGATCTGTCATCTTTGAGAAATATTGATATTAACTTGGCCTTTTTTAATAGTGCCTTGTAAAAGCCCATTGACTATTATAAAATACATGGCAGAAAATTGATCTAAAAAGTACAGACTGAGACTGGGCTTGTACTTAGAATACATTACATGA